ATTGCAGTTCCTAAACATTCTTAATTTTGTTTTAGCTGAAGAGGGTATGGTTGTCATTTTCAGTATAGCCGGACAGATGGGCTAATTGTTTTTTTCATACCCAAGGAGTAATTGGTTAATTACTTATGTGCGTATAGGAAAATCTGTCCTGGAACAGTGCTTAGCAGCAGGGTCAGCTGTGTGATGGGTTTCTGTGTTGTCTGTAGACCTTCCCAGGTGAGGAGGTCCCGGTCTTTGACCTGCTGCTGTTGGGCATGGGCCCGGATGGACATACCTGCTCACTTTTCCCAGATCACCCCCTACTGGAGGTAAGACTTACCTTCATTCTCAAACTTGAAAGTGCTTCGCACATTTTTCTCAGGAGAATCCATTATTTAAGCAAATTTTCTGGTAATTATTTTTTACAGATTTGATATGGCTTGTGGTTATCAATACTGTCATGAAATTAATGAAATCTTTATTTTACGTATAAAACCTGCCATCTTATCATGCACGGAAGATAGGATCAGACATAGAAATAATATGGATCTAGAATGGCAATCATAATACTTGGTAATAGCATAATGGCTGCTATATGCACAGCTATATGCTGTTAAAGGCAAGCATTTGGTGTTCCTTTGCATGGTTAAAGTGATAATTTTTTTCAAAGGAACAGTTTCTCGCCCGTCTCCGAATAAAAGTTGCCATGATCAATGATCTGCATGTGCCCCAGATCTGCAGGAATGTCGTATACACACAAAGCACGGTCACACACTTCATTCAGGACACCGCTTTCTCTGTAGGAGACCAAAAAGACAGTGGCTCCCATCAGGGACTCGCCGAAGCCCCCTCCTGAGCGCGTTACCATGACGCTGCCAGTGGTCAATGCTGCCCGCTGTGTTGCCTTCGTGTCCACTGGGGCCAGCAAAGCCCCCGTGTTAAAGGTAGGATCTCCCTTTGGGTTATGTTTGCAAATATTAATCATTCTGGACAAGTAGAGCATTGTGCTAACCATGCAGAGATTGCGGATTCGATTCCCAGGGAGAGGAGATAAATTATAGCCTTTTCCTATGCTGTAAATTACTTTGGATTAAAGCATAAGATAAATGGGAACAGGCAATTTTGATTATGACAGTAATAAAAAATTGGAGAGTTATAGGTCGGGTGCCAGTATAACCAGTAAACATTTGCAGCGCTTGACTGTGGTTCTTTGGTTTCTCCAGCATGTCCTGGAGGGAGGAGAAGGCCCGCCGCTACCCGCAGCACGAGTTGTGCCCAGCCAGGGAGAGCTACTTTGGCTGCTGGATGAGCCTGCTGCGGCTTCCCTGTCTCTTCAAGTTCAAAGGCCTCCCCCTGGTGCAGAGCTGTAACCCTACCACAAGGGGGCACCATCGAGGCAGAACATCAGCAAGGCACAAACGTCTCCAGATTCTGTTTCCACCACCCATGTAGGATGTGTGAATCTGCACAATTTACATAGTCTGATTTAATTACTTTATTTACTTGACTTGTGTCTTCCTTGAGGATTTGCTATTGAGCAATGTATCCTTGTTTAGTAGTTAAATAATTTCCAAATCATGGACTTGTATCAGGACCAAGATACCTCCGTGGTAAATGGCACAGGGGCTTCTAAGAGACATAAAAAAACAGTATATGGTCTTTAAATTTCATGCTGTTAACTAGACTGTGTCCAGTGAAAGTGTTAAAGGTTAGGGAGAAAAAGTTCCCTCTATACTGAAGATTTTTTTTCCTTGTTTAGTTTTCAAGTCATGTCAGCGGTTACCAGTCCTCTTACTTTAGATGTAATGAAAACACAGCTGTGGGTAGAACTGGACTTGCATTAAACTGAGGGAGACCTGAATAATCGCCAACAGAGCTGAAGAGCCCTGAAACCTGGACGGAACCTGTCTGGTGGACCATGTGGTTGGCTTGCTGATTATTGCGACCCAGCTATAATTTTTAGATCCTGTGGGGGACCACAATAAAAGGATCAAGATGGTATTGTGGACTGGGAATTTATTCTTTATTATGTGTGTATACCTGTCTTTGGAAGTGTTTGGTTGTTTTTGCATGCAAAAATATTTATTTGTACACCTGCTGCATCTAACAAGAAAAATTGGTATTTATCTGAGAGCTGATACAAACCCCTGCAACATGCATGCTGATCACTGTTATATATTTCGGTCACCGCGCGCAGTAGTTGCTGCAGTGATTCGGTACCCTACGTTTCTACGCCTGACTACGACATCCTTAGTCGTTCATTACTAATACCGCCAGGAGGCGCTACATGTCCAACAGTCAATACAGATTAAAATTCTTAGACCCTTTGGACTGATCTCGAGAATTCCATGAGCGCAGTGTAGCATTGCACATGTCTACGGATTTATTTAGATTCAGAAAATAAGAAGAAAAAGATGGAAAAATGTATCTTTCGAAAAGGTTAGGGAATAGAAGGAATTTACCATGTATTATACTGATTGAGCGATTGGGTATAAAGACGTTAGAAGGACGCAGCGCATATTAGCCCTAACTTGAGAGACAAGGGACAGTATTATTCAGTGTGCCTTTGGAATTCTGTTGGCATCCCGCTGACACGTAACTACATGTGGAAAAATGTTAGAGTTTATATTATTTTTCCAACGGTTGCTACGAGACGATTGTCCTACGATTATTTTTTATTATTTGGTGGCATTAAAACCAGTAGGCTTATATTTCAAAGAAGGGGCGTGTAACGTCTTTTTGCATAAAATACGGAATTTAGCCAGAAACCAAAAAATACCTTATACGCGGTGAATCAGACTAAGACGCCCAGCTCGTCATTAATAGAGAAAAGAAAGAAATATTTCTGGATATTTTTCGGGAAGCATTACCACTATAAATGCAATACAATTCTTCTTTTTTACTGCAATCACGTTATCTTGTTTTTCAAATAAGGTACACTTTAAGATTAGGTATATAAATCAATAAATTATTGGCTGTATTCTATTACAACGTTGTCTATTGATTATAAATGTATAAATGTAACTCAGTATTTATCAGAAGCCATTGAGTGAGCACTGCGTAGTCGGCGTGTATGGGGGCCGGGCACGAATATAGCATAGTTTAGTATAGCGTAGTATAATTGAGTACAGTGCAGTATATAGGATTGTGTGTGTGTGTGTGTGTGTGTGTGTGTGTGTGTGTGTGTGTATATACAATGTATATATACTAACAAGTCATGTATTTCTTGTGTAGTGTCGCGTAATGTGCTGCATATAACCCACATTCGGTCTGCTTACCAACAAAAGTAAAGCAGGCTTTGGAATACGACTTTTTCACGCGACATCCACGCCAGCTTCCCTTAAAGGGAATGATGCTCGATTATCAACGACAAAATCTGAACGACATTAAACAGAATATTGTTTGTTTAGGTTGAAGTTTTTATCACCAAAATAATAATTCTATGTCGAGTCATCCTGTGATTTTTACTTGTTTAAAGTATGCGTAGCATATAGTCGTATTGTTCTTTCTTGTTTTACACCTTTTAATGTAAGCAGTGATTTTGCACTGACATTTCATGGAACGTACGATTCTGTTCTTCTCTGCTTCTAAACTGTTATTGCGCGTATTTATATAGCCGCCAGCTGGACTGGAAAATGACGTTGCAAGGCAATCCCTTTAATTTCCATTTGCCTGCATTTCAGCGCCGCTGGCCTTCCGTCGGTGGCTTTCAAAAAGTGATCTAGGGACTGGAGTCTCGGCACATCCTTCTTTCTGTGCTCACTGACAGCTTTTCCCCCCATCTTTAAGCACATTTTTGCGATGTGCCCCTTCCCCGTGTCGCTGTTTATTCTTCTGTCGCTCGTTTTGCCCGGACCGGCCCATGGGTATTTCCCGGAGGAGCGTTGGAGCCCCGAGTCCCCGCTGCTCGCTCCGCGGGTGCTGATAGCCCTCATCTGCCGCAATAGCGAGCATTCCCTCCCATATTTCCTCGGAACCATCGATAACCTCAACTATCCCAAGGATCGCATTTCTCTGTGGTAAGTTTCATGCATTTTCAAAAATGTAAACTTTCGGTTCATTTAACATGCTGAAAGACAGAGAGGGGTTGAGGGGTCTGTACTACGTACACGTTGACGGTGCCCTTCTTAACAAGGGCGATGACGTCATTTATACCCTAAACAAACTGCATATAAAGCGCAAGAAAGTTTCAAGAAATACCGCAAAGTTGCCAAATACCGAATAAAAGGTTACCCGAGCTTTTAATTTTGATTAAGTAAGCCAAAGTAGCAGTATTATATGTACAAATGTTAAACATGTAGTTGTGTACGTTCATATTATTTGTAGTTTCTACAAGTTCGGCTATAATCCAGGTACTTTTCGGCAATTCTAATCAGGCATTCAGCTCGTAGTTGTCTGTGTTTTTGTCCCCTGAAAAACAATTATTTTAAATCCAGTTAGTGATTTGTGTTGCTTTTTTTTCGTATACGTTTCGTCCCCCCGCCACAGGGGTGGGGGCGGTTTCCTATCCCACTCCAGAAGTTCGAGGACGGATTTAGCCAGTGTTCGATATAATTTTGAAGAAATATTGTCCAGTAACGTTAAATGCTATGAATTTCCACCGCTGGTCACTGTCAGCCAAAAAAAAGGTAGATCGAATCGTATCCTCCAGAATAAATAATCAGCCCTACTTATTGTTCTTGTCCATATTTCCATACACGCTACACTTTCCATTGCCCTGTTTTTTTAAGAAGACGGAGACGGGAGGAATTGATAGCAAACGACTGAACATGCAGGGACAAAGCCGCATGGAGGGGAGACGTGGCGCGGCTTTTAGGGGCTGCATGTCGGGGAATGCAAAGGGGTCCGGGAGCCGCCAGCGGGGCTATAAACCTTTGAGCTGTTTTTATACACCGTTTCAAAATAGTTTTTGGATGGTTTAAGTTCCTGAATAACGAAAACGCCTTTTTATAACTTTGTATAAAACCAGCACCAATTCTAAATGTGTGTTTTATATTTGTAAAGGAAATGCTTTTTTGTCACTAACTTTTGGCAATGTTGCATAGTTTTGTACTTTTGGTAAATTTTATTTTAATTTGGTAAACATTTGATCGATCTGCAGGTTTGTACAGAAAGAGTTTGTGCCTCTGCTGTTACCTTTAAGACTCTCAACTTTGTCTTTTTACGCTCAATGTCTCCCAGTGACACCGTTGAAATATGAATACACACTGTCGTCTTTGTCCTAAGCTTTGTAAGTGTAGTAGGATCCCCAGACGTTGTCTGCGATGATTCATGTTCGAGGAGCGACTGTAAGTAGCTTATACGTGCGGTGAAAAAACACAACATACTGAGATATTTCTGCATACGATTGCATATCACTATATGCGTTTGTCTGCATGTTTTTGACTCCCAAGTGATGGGCGTGTGAGACAGAGTGTGTGTGCGCAGTGTAATTTGTTTGGATGATGTTGGGCTCAGACAGCTGGTGGGGGGTGGGGGCGCTCAGTGGAAAACCAGCATCACACAGTGTCCTGTCCCAGGAGAAAGGACATTAGCGTTTAGACTTACCTCAAAACCTCTGGGTTCTTCAGACAGCAATGTAGCTAGAAAGTCTGGGTCCCCGACAAAATGTCACCTTGCCCCTCCCCCCCCATTATATAATTTCATAATTTTATGTATTCAAGGGCCCCTGTAAAGTTCTGGGTCCTCTGAATTTGCCAGGGCATCCCTGCCTCCAGACCCTCCAGGGGCAGACTGACTTCTCTGGGGGCCCTAGGCTGACATGGGGGGGGGGGCTAGAGCGCAGGGCCCAGGATTATTGTCCGCCCCGAGACCTTCCCTTTCTAACAGTAATGAATGAGTTGTCCTTCCTCACGTTGTTGGCCTACAACTATCGAGTTCCACTGTCATGAGCGTCTTAAACGCCTGTCTTCCTCCTTTGGGGTACACAGGAACTGTGAACTAGTGAAGTCGCTGGCTTGAATGAATGCTACCTGCTTCAGTGCTGCGTTGTCAGGGAGGTCACGGTCACTCTGAGGTGTCGCATTATTGAATGGACACTTTAGTACTTCTCGTTCAGCCCTGAGTGCTCAGACTTTATGATTTATGATCGTTTAAGTTTGCAGGGGCCTGCAACGGCTCCTTTTATGATTTTACGGTTTTATGGTTGGTTTGCTACGGACCAATACACAAATCCCCACATAGCAAGCCTTAAAGCCTGTGTTGTCAAGCTTTCTCAGAGGTAAAAAAAAATAAACCGGAATATTTCTCTTTCCTTTTTCCATGATGCCTGCGCCTGCAAAGTATTTTAAGCATTATTATTATTCAGATATATATGTGGAAACATCCTAAATCTGATACTGTGTCTTTAAGATTTGCGCAAGGTCTGACTCCATGCTGGCCTTATTTAAAGGAAAGTTAAATCATGTTTCTGGATGTATGGGGGTAGTGAAGCACTCTCATTGGAAGAGAGAAATTTGGTCCATGACTAAGGTGCTGTTATGTGGGAGATCTTACTTAAGTGTGGATTAGGGCAGCTGGAACCAGTTGGTGAACTGGGGGGGGGGAGAGAATTAGGATTATATTACTTTGTGGGGGACGTTTAAAAAAAACTATTATTTTGACATCGTGGGTACCATTTTCCAGGACCCCACAAAGATCTGTGAATGCAATTAAAAAAACTAAAAAAGCCAAAAGTCTTGTATTTTGTTTGGTTACTTATGGTTAAGGTTAGGGCTGGGTAGGGTTTAAGGTCGTTATGTTGGGATTAGAGTTTTCCCCATAGAAATGAATGGAGAGTCCAAACAAAGATATAATTGGTTGTGTGTGTGTGTGCACGCACGTGCAGTCATGCTTATGTGATCCACTGATGTTTACTCCAAGGTGGACTTTCTTAGACTGAAGTAAACAGACCAGATGGCTTTAGCCCAAAAACACTGGAACACTACCAGCAGTGTCTCGTCCACCAGGGAGGCGGTCAGGGACTGTGTGCTGTGAGAGAAAACCAGCCCTGCATGCAAGATCAACCAAGATATAGGTGTAACTATGAAGGCCTGCCTTCAGACTGCAGTCAGGCCTCCAGGGTTCTCCTTTTAGCTCTCAAGGATGGCTTGCTGGGATTTGTAGATCTTTTACCCAAGAACAGAATCGGCCGACGAACAGAAAAAATTCCACGTGTTCGTGCTTCCAACAGAACATGGGGAGAACCTTCCACGGTGCTCCTTGCCAACATTCTTCCCAGCTTTGGTCAGCAGATATGGCTGCCAGGCTCTTCTGCTGCAGCGCCATTGGCCACAGTGTTGATGAGTGTAACAGTGGGGCTTTAGCTCCACAAACACACTTTAAGGCTTTGGACGGCTTTCAGCTTTGGGTCCTGCTGCAGCAGTGAGTCTTGCGCTGTCAAAAAGCCAACCTGGGACGGGGGGGGGGGTTAAAATGAAGCATAAAGCCACTTCAATGGCTCCCTCTCTCTGTCTGGCAGGTGCCGACTCTCTCTCCAAACCCGCACTCACAAACATGCCCTCTGCGTCTGTAACCTTCATCTTGTGGCCGTCTGTGATCACCCGGGTGGCGTTTAGCCCTCTGCGATCTTTTACTCGCATGCATGACTGTAATTGAGTTGGCTGAGCTAAATGAAATATGTTTGGTGTGGTTATAAGTAAGTGCAGGCATGAAACAATCTTAATTACAATACATCTCACTGTGTCAGATGATTACACATTCTGCTACTAAATCTGTCTTTTTTTTTTTTTCGATGATTTTTGCAAACCTCAAAAGCTTTGGAATTTTGTGTTAACCTTCTTTGTTTTTCCAAGAAGCAGCTTCACTCGTTATCAGCCCGTCTTCCTCATGTGTTTTGGTCTGTTTATATCAATCTTTTCAGACTCTGCCTGTGATTTGAGTGTGTTTTTTTTTTGCCAGTCATCCCCAATTTTTGAATTTGAATTTAGTGATTAATTGTCATTGTTGACACACCACAGCACACAGCGCACAACAAAGAAATGTGTCCTCTGCATTTAACCCATATGTGACAATGTGACATAGCAGGGAGCAGCTAATTCAGCGCCCGGGGAGCAGTGCTTGGGGGCGGTACCTTGCTCAGGGTACCTCAGTGGTGCCTTGCTGGTCAGGGACGTCAACGACCAATAACCAGCCAGGTAGAGGGCAGAAGCGACTTTCTAATGCCAGAGATGACTGTCAACTGATCCGGCAGTGCCACATGAATCGGAGGATGACCTCAAGTGACCTTCAAAAGTGCAGGTGTGAAGTGCACTGCTAGGACAGTTCATATCAGGCTCCTAGAAGCAGGACTGAAGTGAAGCAAGGAAGAAGCCCTTCATTAATGAGAAATGGGGAAGAGCCAGGCTGCAGTTTGCAAAAAAAAAAAAAATATTAGAGAATCACACCCATAAATTGAGAAATGAGTGAAACAAAAAATTGTGCTGTGGTCTCTTAAATATAATACAACCACAGAACTTTTTTTTTATATAAAAGCGGCCAATGAGCTCTGTGAGTTGGGACTCAGAAGGTTGCCTGTTCAAATCCCACAGTCAGCAGAGTGATCCCACCATTGGGCCCTGAGTGAGACCCTTAACTCCAGTTGCTTCGGAGGCTGGCTGACCCATACTTTCTCCTGCTTTCTCCTCGGCTCCAGTTTCACGAGGCGGTCTCCCGGGATGCTTTCCCAGCTGTCCCGAAGGAGGTCCCACATATATACTGGGCACTCCAACAAAACTCCACCAAAACCATTTCTACTGTGTTTTTTGGTCAGGTGGCCAGTTCATATGATGTGACACTCTATCACTCTCTTCTGTAGGCAGCATGGCGTATCCAGACTTTTGCCTGCTGTTGCACATCCACTCCCAGATTCCTCATTTCCGAGTTTCTGGTGTCTGTTCTAGCTGTGAATGCTTTCCGTCCTCGAGGCGGTGGGAGTTTCCTGGATTGAGCCGCCACCTCTTTCAAGTTGTATTGTCATGTGTTTTGGAAAAGCACAGTGTTCATTCTTACACCACATTTGTGTGGAAGGCACAGGGCAACAGCGATGCATTAAAATACCAGTCAGTGCGAGACCAGGTGCAAGGCTACAGGCAGACACATGGTCAGGTTTGTACTTTGAACCGCAGCCATGCTGTTCTCTTGGCCAGGTTCATAGGGCATACGCGATGAATAGCCTGGTATGTAGACGATACACCTGGGGGCTCTTCAGACCGCAGTGCAGAGACACAGGCCAGCTGTGATTGGATGTATAAATATTAGTGCCACGAACTTGCCTGTTTTAAATCTAACTCAACTCCCCTTGTTTAAGTTCATGTTAAACTCTTCTCCATGTTCACTCACAGCAGTTAATTGTTTCTCTTTATTGTTTACTTCAGATCTTAATATATTTTCAGCTTTATGGTTTTAATTGTGAATGTGGCTGGTGATTCCATTAAAGAATCCAGGCTAAATGGTTTTCTTATGGGTAAAATGGTGGTTCTGTCTCCTAGGTTTTGAATATAGCTTCAGAGTAGCCTGCTACCTTAGTCATTGGTGGTCACTGTACTGTCAGTTTCCCATGGCCCAGCTCTGCCCTTGGTTGCCAGATATTGGGCTGATCTTAGGGCAGCGTTTCCCAATCCGGTCTTCAGAGACCTACATCCGGCCCACGTTTTTGCTTCCTGTCAGTCGACTTTTTTTGCTTTCTCCCAGCTTCCAGGAAGGGAACTGGGAGGGACCGAAAACATGGATGTCTGTGGGTCTTAAAGGACCAAATTGGGAAACACTGATCTAGGGTTTAGATTTAGGGTTTGGGAAATGGGAGCCAGTGGTCTAGAAAAACAGTGGCCAGTACTACGAAGCTGGGTTACTGGTTTATCGGGGTAACTTGTCAGATTTAAGGTACCACAGTTTAAATGGACTTCATATTCGTTCACTTACATTTTGCCCAGACTACCTTAAATCCGACAAGTTACCCCGATAAGCCAGTAACCCCGCTTCGTAGTACAGGCCACAGATGTTCTCTCAACTTCTGAATAGGAGCTAGAAAATGTCTCTTCTGTTCTTCTCTCTAGATGCGATCAGAGCTGACACTTGGCTTAATGTTTCAACTGATCCCATCTGCTCCATCGCTGCAGTCCAGGCACGAGAGGCCCAGGGCCTAATTGTTTACAGCATGCTGCTGTTTATGCAGCGTATGTCCCTGCAGCCTCTTTTTATCACTGTTTCCCAATGGGGTCCTCAGGGACCCGCAGACAGTCCATGTTTTTACTCCTCCCCAGCTGCTGGGAGGGAGCAAAAATGTGGACAGTCTGTGGGTCCTCAAGGACCAGGTTGGGGGAAACGCTGATTTACATGCCCGCGACCCTGTGCGGGGCAGTGGTTTGGGGGGGGCAGAACATCTGCCAGATGCCTGGGCGGGGCTGGGATGGAGGACCATACATATTGCAGATGTGTGACGAAGGGAAGATGATCCCAGTTTGCTCCCCGGTGTTTAAAGCAAGCAGAAAGAGTAACCAAGTTCTTCTTGATAGAGAACAAGACCTGTTCCAGAGCATGAATGGATGCAGGTCCATGAATGTAGTGTTTGCACTGAAATGACCCTGAAGAGTACAATCCCCTGTGTGCCTCACATGGCAAAGCCCTATGTCACTTAAGCACATTTTTATTAATGCTATTAGGGAAATATATCTCCCTGTAAGCACTTTGCTGGATGTTTTTCCTAAGATTAAAAGACTGTTCTGTATTTCATTATTAAAGCCAATGTAAAGTACCTTGATTTGAATCTCAAAATTTGCAGGGAATCTCATTATTGCTGTGTGTTTTAAGGTTTTACCTTCTCAGGTATTTATTTATTTGAAAATCATTATAAACTTTGACATGTAACCAATAGACTTCGCCATGAATGTATCAATAGCTGCTTATTTAGTGTGAAAGTTCAATGAGCTAACTGAAGTGTACTTTGTGACTTTGTCCACAGGGTGGCGACGGACCACAACGTGGACAACACGACGGCCATCCTGCGTCAGTGGCTGACCGATGTGCAGAGCTTCTACCACTATGTGGAGTGGAGGCCACAGGTGGAGCCAAGGTGAGTGAGTCTGAGTGCCCTCATGCCACATATGTGTGTGTGTGTGTGTGTGCGAGAGAGAGAGAGAGAAAGAGACTGGGAGAGTGAGAGAGAGAGACACGTTAAATCAGTTTTTCCCAACCCAGTCTTCGGACACCCCCAGACTGTCCACATTTTTGGTCCCCTCCAGCTCCCAGCCAATCAAGAACATAGAATACATGGTACCGGCATGTTGGAAGCTGGGAGGGAGCAAAAATACGGACTGTCTGGGGGGTGTCCGAGGACTGGGTTGGGAAACTGCTTGAAATTGCCTTACACATCTTGCTGCAGGACTTTTGAGGATGAGAGCGGACCAAAGCACTGGACAAACCACCGCTATGCTCACGTAATGAAGCTACGGCAGGCAGCTCTGGATGCTGCCCGAGACATGTGGGCTGACTACTTCCTGGTGCGTTACCCCTCGCAGACAGTGGGGGCACTAGACTGCTGAAGAGACTCTGTAAAGTGCTTCTAAATGCCTTTTGCATTCTTCAGTTACAGGCAGGCTGTAGTACGTACTCTTTACCATTGTTAAGCAAATTAAAGCATTAAAATATATTTAACATGTTACACATAAATCTCAGAAAATCCAGTTTTAAACCATCTCAAGTGGCACATTCTTTCTCAGCTCCATGTAGACAGTCCTTTGTACTTCAGCTTTGTTTCTCACGTGGCTGGCAAAGCACACTTGTGACATCGCTGACTGCCCCCACCAAATACTGACTCCTAGTGGCCACTTCTAGAATAATTTTGGGAGTTTATTATTTTTAGAAATGCATACTACAAAATGTTTTTTTGCAGTCGTATTGTTGTCCGACATGATACCCAGGGCCAGGATGGTAGTCTTTGCAACCTAGACATGACATAAACAGGTCACAGTCCTGTGGATCCGTCCTGTTTCTCTTCTGCTTCAGCTGGTGGACTGTGACAACATCCTGACCAATCCAGATGTGCTGTGGAAGCTCATACAGGAGGACAAGACCGTGGTGGCTCCCTTGCTGGAGTCGCGCGCGGCCTACTCCAACTTCTGGTGTGGAATGACCACTCAGGTACGAGCGCGTGTGCTTCCAGCTGGAAGGGCCACCCACATCTGTCTTCCTCATTTTCTCCAGGTCTCTGAATTATTTCATGTTAAAACAATTACAAGTATTTGTTGTGTATTAGATCACTATCCTTCTAGGGATAAATTCAGTCAATGAAAGGTCTAATGTCTTGGGGTCATCACAATACAGAATTGCTGTTTAATAAATTATAATACATAATAGAATATATGTAATGGAATCTTTAATGTCATTTTACATGTACAAAAAACTCTGTGCTTTGTCCACCAATGCTGCATATTGGAGAAAGTGTGTGTGTGTGTGTGTGTGTGTGTGTGTGTGTAAATGAAATATAACGCAATATGTAGCTGAGTAGTTAACCAAAGTGCAGTAGTTCAGTCATATATTCATTTTAGCAGCATTAAATGTAACAGTGTAGATTTTTAGAGTTTCACTGCGAGGTGTATTTTTAAAATTATTAACGGCAACAAAGTGAATCCTTGGGAGTGTAAGCTGTCTGCGTGCCGCCCCCCCCCCCAGGGCTACTACAAGCGGACGCCGGCCTACCTTCCCATCCGGAAGGGCCTGCGGAAGGGCAGCTTCGCCGTGCCCATGGTACACTCCACCTTCCTGGTGGACCTGCGCAAACAGGCGTCGCGTCAGCTGGCCTTCCACCCCCCGCACCCGGACTACAGCTGGGCCTTCGATGACATCATCATCTTCGCCTTCTCCGCCCGCATGGCGGGTATGAGATCAGGGAGGGGGATACGTATTGTAACAAAAGTTAAATTAATTTACATACATTTTATTTAGCAGACTATTTTATCTCCAAAACAGTCCTTGGGGGTTATGGGCCCAATGGTGAAATTACTCTGTTAATCATGGGATTTGAACCGGCAACCTTCTGATTCTAGGCATAGAACCTTAACCTACAGAGCCACACTATGCTACAATTCAGGCAAAACTCAATTGTTTCAATTCTTCTATAGAAGTGGTTCAAAACCAACATTTTCCGTCTGTTCTCACAGTACGTAAAGATTATGTGTTTGTAAGTGGTATTTAGCTATGCTATAATTAACTTGGGGGCAATTAGGTCTTTTTTGATTGTAACATAGTCACCCTGCAAGACGTGCATCATGCCGATCCTGGCAAACGTTTATGGTCTTTCCTTCCTATAGACGTCCAAATGTTCCTGTGTAACAGAGAGATTTATGGGTTCCTGCCCATCCCTCTGCGTGTCCACAGCTCCCTGCAGGACGAGGCGGACAGCTTCCTGCACACGATTCTGGAGGTCATGGGTAGGCCTGGGTTCGAGGGTTAGGGTACAGAAACGGTCTGTGGTCTTTCTGTTGTTACTCAGCCGGTCTGTCCCCTTTGCCCCAAACAGTGCGGAACCCTCCCATAGAACCTTCTAGGTTCACACCCGTCCCTAAGAAAAATCCGGACAAGATGGGCTTTGACGAGGTGGGGCAAAAAAAAAAACACAACTGTTTTTTTTTATATATTAATTGATTGTGGGCGGAGCTTCAGAGGGGGGGCGTGCCTCCACAGATGTTCATGATCAACCTGGAGCGTCGTCCTGACCGGCGGAAGCGCATGCTGAGGTCCCTCTATGAGCAGGAGATCGACTGCAAGGTCTTCCCCGCCGTGGACGGCAAGTAGGTCGCCGGATTGGGTAGCTTTTACATTTTTGATGCCAGAATGGTGCCACGGTCAGGGAAACCTCTCTCTCCATCTCTCTCCCGCTCAGGGCCTTGAACGCCAGCCAGATCCAAGCCCTGGGAATCCACATGCTGGCCGGCTACAGCGACCCCTACCATGGCCGGCCCCTCACCCGAGGGGAGATGGGCTGCTTCCTCTCACACTACTCGGTCTGGCAGGAGGTACGAGGGCGCTCTGCCTGAGAGCTGTGCCCTCCTGCGTCTCCTGTCCTCCGAGCTGATCCTCTTCCCCCATCATCTTCCCGCAGATTGTGGATCGGGGGCTCGAGGTGTCGGTGGTGATCGAGGACGACCTGCGCTTTGAGGTTTTCTTCAAGCGGCGCCTCCAGAACCTGATGTTGGAGGTGAAGAAGGAGGGACTGGACTGGGACCTCATGTAAGGGCACTAAGGGGGTTCCAGCATCAATATACTGTACTATGGAATATATGAAAATCATGTACCCATTTTAGTAGTTTGTCCAAGACTGTAGCTGATTTTTCCTCTACTCTTCTCACGCCATTCAACATCTCCTCTCCTCCTCTTCTACCTTCTCTTCATCTGCTTCCTGCTTCCCCCCCCCTTCTCAGTTACATAGGGAGAAAGAGAATGCAGGTTGAGCGTCCCGAGAAGGCCGTTCCCAACATCCACAACCTAGTTGAGGCCGACTACTCTTATTGGACGCTGGGGTACGTGATGTCATTACAAGGCGCCAAGAAGCTGCTGAAGGCCGAGCCGTTGAAGAGGATGCTGCCAGTGGACGAGTTCCTCCCCATCATGTTCAACAAGCACCCAGTGTAGGTATTGCCCAGGTCACTTCTCTGCCCTGCCTTGGAGTTTGTAAATTCTCCATGTAGCATGTCGCTATGCTGTGTCCATCACCCGCTGTCTTCGTTCCATCCTACCCCACCCCAGATCGGACTACATGGAGCAGTTTGTAACTCGGGACCTAAAAGCATTCTCTGCAGAGCCCCTACTGGTGTTCCCCACCCACTACACGGGGGAACCGGGCTACATCAGTGACACGGAGACCTCCACCGTCTGGGACAACGAGAAGATGCCCACAGACTGGGACCGGGCGCGGGCGGGCAGCAAGACGCACGAGCAGGCGGAAATCAGCAGCGAGGCCCAGAACACGGACGTCCTCCAGTCGTCCTTGCACCGTGCTGCTAAAGATGAGCTCTGATTGGCTATTTCACACATGTGGCCAGCCAATGAGAACCGGGAACCACCCACCCACCCACGGTCAGGCTGCTACATTTGTTTTGTAATGACCTCCTGAAAATTGCCTCTTTCTTCACATCTTACCTGGGATGATGCTAGGGCAGCATGGAATCTGAGGTGTGTGATTTGACTCTCAAAGTGGCTTCTGATGGTCATCATGGGATCATCACATCTGGTACAGGTGAGTGAGAAACACCTGCTTTTAGATGCTTTTTTTAAAGCACATTTTGTTTTGTTTTTTGCCCTCACCTCTGGGACAGTCGCCAACTGTGATCCAGATGTACCCTCACAGTCAGGTTTGAGGGCAAAGCTCCGATGAAATACCCAGCAGATATTACTCACAGACAGGGCAAGGATCTGAATTCATCTTCAAAATGGCAGAATGTGTCATTCCCACAGAATCCCCAACTAAAAAATGTTACATAAACTTCTGTTTATTTCAACGTCTTTCTAGGAAACACTCACCCCCTGTGTTACTGACAGATGTGCCTAAATACAGGAATGTGTGGTATTGCTCTGCTTGGTCTCTACATGACAATCCACCAATGGCTTTACAGGGAAAATTGGGAAGATTTGTGAGGGGTGTAGAGATTGTATCCCACAGCTTGGATTATGTGAACTTGTCAATAAATGGTTATTGGTTTAAGTTCCAGGATGAATCCTGGTAATTTTTGTCCACTTTGCAAGGTGCTTAACTTGAACTGATTACTGATCATGAGTGAAACCATAAGCTGCTTTAGATTAAAGCATCCTGAAAAAAAGAAGCCGATGTCTCTCTCTCTCTCTCTCACAAACACACAGACACACACAAGCAAACAGACACACACAAACACACACACACACACACACAAACACACACACACACAAACACACACACACACAAACACACACACACACAAACACACGGGATGAACTAACGCTGCTCCACTTGCATCTGTCAAAGCTGCTGTTAGCTGTGAATTCTTCGCCATGACAGATTCAGCACCCAGTGCTGTAATCGGCCTGTAATTTTCGCCAGCGGTGGTCTTGTGGCAGATCAGGCCTCAGAATCCACACCCTGGGCCTGCGGACCAGTTTCCAGTCGACCACAAAAGAGCCAGAAACAAGTTGCTAAGGAATAATCCTGGAGTCTAGCCTTTTAAGGAGTGTCTAATTGTGTGGCATGGAAATATTGTACCATAATAAAAGAAATTGATTTTTTTTCCTTTCCTACCACAGTAACTATTGTTTTTCAAGTACCTATTTGTGTGTGAACCTGATATGGATGAGAATGACCAGTCGATCTTGCAGTTAATGCCAGTTTAGTCTGTTCCCCATTTCTGTAAAAGTGCCTTTATACCAAAGAATAAAATCTTGTTTTGTTTTAAATCTGTCTTTGCATACCACGCGCTTTTATAATGACCGAAAGATGTCGTCAAGAGAAAGTCTGTTGTGGTGGATTTGCGCTGACGTGTTTCTGTTGCAGTACAAAAGTGCGCCTCAATAAGACCGCTGCGTGTTCTGTCGATGAGCATCCCTCCCCAGTAATGACGTGCTCTGACAGTTTGCATATGGTAATTGTGTTTTTTATGGGGTTTTTTTACAGATGCATATATCCATATGCGGATATGTACTTAGGCTTAATGAGAAAAGCGCTACCTAAGTATACCCGGTCTCTAAGCTGTCGCCGCCTCCGCATGCCATGGCCTTAAAAGGGGGAGTTAGTGTTTCGGCTATTTCTGGGACTTTAACACATTTGTATCTCTTCTTTCGTGCGACGCGAAGCTTTCCTGGAATCATTTTGCTTGTGATAAAAGTGCCGGCGGCTGTGAGATTCAATCCAAACGCACAAAAAAAATCAAGACCAGATATCGTCGCACGCCATTCAAAGCGTGAACTTGTCATTCAAATGATTCTTTTTCACTATAGCCTACCTGCTATCAAATATACAGTCCTTTAGGCCTGTAATGTATTTTATATAATTAAGCTACATGGAACAATTTATATTTATTAAATATATTAAAATGAGGCATAACTTTAGAGTTTCGGTGTTCACTTACGCGTATCTGTTAACCGAGGTCAACAGCAGCGGCAGGGAACAAAGTTAAACGGGCCAGACCGGGGGCGACCTGCGGGAAGCAGATCGCCTGCCGCATGCTTGTGCATATCTGAGTAAAAAATCCCAGCTTGTAGTTCTCTGTTATCCCAAGTGAACCCGACTCAGTCCCCGGAAAAAAAAAAACATATATAGTTGTCACTAGATAAGAAGGCACGATTTCTGGAACAGGGTTGCCAACTCGCAGGCATCTGGCGTGACATGCTTTCTGACTCACAGGGTCACGCAAGAAATTTTACAGCAAATCTATATTATTACATTATAAACATAAAACTAGCTACATCAAAAGCGTTGGGGTAGTTTGCAAACCTTACAGGCTATTTATAAGGTAATAAAACTGTTACATACATGTAAATGAGCGTGCAAACTTGTCTCGAATTGAAAATCACACGCCAGGCAGCTGACTGAAGTTGGCAGCCCTCACTTGGAAATAATAGCTAATCAATCATAAGGAATCCAGTTGCGGATCTGTTTAACATTCATGATCAAAGCTGTAATTGCGTTATGTCTAATCTCGGATCAGCGAACTTTCCGTCAATAAGACAGATAAACCGTAAAAATGTTGATTTACGTATGTGGTGACGCATAGAGGCGATATGTTATTTGTAAGTCAGGTGAGTTAACGAAAGAAAGGTATAGGCATGATATTGACTAGTAATTAATGGTCATCTATCCGAACAGTCGAACCGACGACTTATCATGACCTATATACACCTTCTTCCACCTTCCGCGCTGCTGGTTAGACTTACCTCACCTCCATGACTACTGTTATTTTAGGTTTGCTCAAAAGCGATTGCAATCAGCTTCAGAAGATGAGTGAAGTTTGCGGATGTGCTGGATTGAGCCGGAATGTGGCCGAGCGACATGCTTAACATCAGTCATGCGGGAATTCATCCTCTTAACAATGACTCATGTGTTAATGGAGAGTCAAAACGCACGGAGTCCACATCTAACATTACAGCACCTGCTGCGTGAAATACGGTTCTGTTGGATGATTATCGACGATCATGTTTTAATCTGACTCCATCCTTCATCCCGAAATACGAAAGATCTTAAGACTACAGGAGACGGATGATTTCTGTGTAGATCGGACTGGTGGAAATGTTCCCCGTCTGACACGGCATCAGTCGGGCATATGTCTGAAGTCTGGTCCACTCTATTTTGTAATGACGGTAATCACGAAGACAAATAAGAAGAAACATGGCGCAGGTCGGTAGCCTTGGAAGTTTAAGGTTGGAGTCGTCGCCAGCCTTTTTCCCTGCGATGGAGAGCACCGAGTCTGCGTGGCTGGGGGACCGCTTACAAGATATACCGCAGATGGTAGCTGAACTTCGGCTTGTGGGTGACAGCATGAAACAGATTAAAAAGCTTCTGCAGGATTTCTGTGGTAAGTCAAATTATTATTATTATTATTATTATTATTATTATTATTATTATTATTATTATTATTAACAACAATAATAATGGGTCTTAATTGTAATATTTATAGCGTTGCAGTTCTTGTTATACAATTGATGTCTGGTACTATGCTTTATTAGTCATCAAGGAGTTTTGACCAACCTACTACGTTATCTCTCCGTATTTTTACTCTCACATTCCAATCATGTTTCACAGTGGTTGGCCCCAAATGGACCACATAACTGAGACCATGGCTACTCTTAGAACATGAGGGAGATGGAATTCCGGAACACTAAAAATGATGGTTGTCTCTGTTACGCTTCACTCACAAATGGGCCTGGACTGGGCGTATTCTCTGTTGGTCGATGGGTTTGCGGGTCTGAAAAATACCCCCCCACCCCATCAGTAAAATCTGCCCCAAAATTAAGGGCGAAATTTTAAACCTTGTCCGGCCTTGTTCACAAAACCGTTCAATCCCATGGTGAAGTGCTTTGTTAATGTTGTCACATTTGGCTCTCTCTCTGTCCACCTCCACCTCAGACTCATGTGGATCCACCCAGGACGAGGTGGACACAGCACTCCAGGGCTTGATGGCCTCTCTCCAGCCCCTGAGGGAGCGCCACCCCTCCATGGCTCACCCCCCTTTAAGCCATGCCATCTCAGCCCTTCTTGGCTCCCTCAGAGGTCAGTGCCCCTCCATTTGATTTTTAGGACTAGTGTGTGACAGCAGGGGGCGCTAGAGTCATCTCTGAAACCACCTGTTGCTCTTGGGTATGTGGTTTAACGCTCATGAACAGCCAAAACTCTTATACTCGTACACTAAAGGAATCACAATAAATATAGGTAATGGGCCGAATGTGTACATTTTTTTAATTGATGTGACATAATGATGTAGCTATAAATTAAAGCATCTCTCACTGTGAGGGGGGGGAGGAATGGTGGGTGTGTCTTCCTTAGAGAACGAGACTCACTTCCTCCCCTCAAAGGTGAAAGAGCATTGGACAATCTCCTCAGCATCAGGGAGGGAAAAAAAATGTTTTTTTTTTCTCTTTCTTTTGCAAATGCACACAGTGAGAGAGAGAGAGAGCGAGAAAAGGAGAACGAAATCTTTAAAACGCCTCAAAGTTTTTTCTGTTAGTTTTCACTGAATGCAAAGCACCAGTGAAAGAGTGTGTGTGTGTGTGTGTGCGCGCGTCTCTGTGTGGGCGCGCGCGCGTGTATGTGTCTGTGTGTGTCCACACACGCCGAGCGTCGAATGAGGCTGAGTAACTACGGCTCGCTGTCCCCCTCTTGGTAAACGCCGGAGAGTCTCGGCGAATGGGGTCTCTGCGCGGCGTGAGGTACTGAGCTCTGTCTGTCTGAGGGAATTTTGGGAGGAGAGAAAGCAGGAGACACGCTGATGGAGGAAGCGACGAAGAATGTTGCAATGGCGGACTGCAATGCCCAGGGTGAGTGTGAGGACCCGGGTGAGGGTGGGCGGGACAACGTACCGCAGCTCCAACGAGACAGAGGCGGCCATCTCGACCCAAAAACACAGGCCGTGATCCCTCGTTTGTGCCGTTTATGACTTCCCTCCTTTTTGATGCACTTATGCTGTCCATCAATCTGCCATCGGCTTGGTCACTGTGAACCTAGAGCCTGTTCCAGGCAGCATCAGGCACAAGACGTTGGGCTTGTGGGAAGAAACTGTGGGTGACCTTATTAACTGCACACCTACAGAGCTGGGGGGGATTCGTACCCCTTCCCTAGAGGTGTGAAACAATAAACGTGAGCCACTGAGTCACCCTCAATATTCGTATATTTTTAGTCCTGTAAATTTGCTGTTTTTTGGTATCTCTCATTTCCTGTGGAAACATCTGATACCTCATAGTTGCTCCTTCCACCTTTTTCCTTTGGGTCCAGGTCCATTTGTCCTTTGAGATCTTTGTACGTACTGGATGTTTTGTTTGGAAATATGTAAGCCCAACTTGTTGAGTTGACTGTAAAGATACCTGAGCCCTAGACCTCACCGTAGGAGTAGGTGCCATGGCTCTTCTTTGGTCTTTAGCCATAGTATTTTCTTGCGTTGAATCTCGTGGTGTCTGCTGTCATGTTTGCGAGGTGTATGAATTTGAGGGGGGCTGGGGTTGGGGGGAAATTATGCCTGTTTGGCCAGTACAAGCCTTGCAGTGCTTGTGTGCGGTGAAACCTGATGTAGATGCAAGTATCCTGCAAGTTTTCTCAGTTCGGTTTCTGGAAGGGCTAAGGTCCTATTTGCATTGTTGTCCCCTCGGAACACTCCCTAGCGTGTCCCGTAAGTGACATTGCTGAAGCATTTCATTTGCATCTCAGTCTACATGCTAGCGGGCAGTCTGGCCTAGGTGTACCCTGGCCTCATGTCCTGTGCTGGCCTGGTAGGTTCCTGGGCTTCCCATGAGCCTGATTATGATAAGAGGTTTGAAGATGGATGATTGGGTGGTTGGACACAAATGGCAAACCGACGGCGTCGCAGCAGCGTGCTGAGAACTGGGCTGTCCCCCGTAAGCAGTGTGACTTGGAGGCAGGATGTGGTTGACCTAAATGGAACATGAGAGAGCTAGAGAGAGCGAGAAACACTGCTAAATGTCTCCTCAGCTTGTCTGAGAGAACCCGGCAGGATTCTGCATAGAACTCGACAGTGTCTGGAACTGAAAGTACACACAAGTACTCGCAGTCAGAAACACGCTTTTTTTCATCAAGTGACAGCGTATGCATTTTGTATATCAATTGGATTTGATACCAGAAGCAAGAAGCATTATCATTCTGCATGTTTGCGTGGCTTTAGTACTTGTATCTGTGTGTGACACTGCTCTGCTACCCCGTTCTGCTTCTTGCTGCAGTTCAGAAGGGACATCCGGTCTTAGTTCCTTTGTTTGCCCTTCTGCCATTTTGGTTCCTATATTTCAGGCATGAAATTGGCCACTCTGTACCTGTCTTTGCTTGCATAATTCCCCCCCCCCCGGATATAATGAGTATGGGCAGCTCCCCCACCACTGCCTTTATTTTTTGCTGTTTCTCTTTACTAGAGTCTCTGTTGGTGTCGTGACGTCACTCAGGAGGGTAAAAGGGAAGTGGTAGTGATGATTAGGTCACGGCAAATAATTATCGGAAGAGTTTATCGTGAATGATATATATATAAAGTTCTGGTGACAGGCTATGTATTTCTCAGATGTGTTGTGCGGTCAGTTCCTTTTTGGGCTGTCGGGTTTGAGTTGGGTTGAGGGGCTGTTTTATGGAGACGCAGAGGTCGCTCGGGCAGAGAAATTTCAGCCCTTGCGAGACGCGACATACGTCATGAACCGTTCCGGTGATGGAGCTCGACAGAATCGACACATTTCCCGGATGGCACTGGAATATAAAAATAGGCATGTTGCACATACTGTTCGGGGGGACGGGCTCATGGTTCTGACATTTAATATGAAGCGGTGTGGTTTTTAATTTAAGGGATGGTGTGACTGATTAACTGTGGCATTGTGAGGAAAATGATTGTTTGCTGTGGTTTGGGGATTTTTTTGGTTAAAATGTGGGTGTGTAACACCCACACCGCGTGGCCTTCTGTGCCTTGCCTGTTGCATAAAATAAGCCTAGGATTTCTGATCACCTCGACCTGAGTGGCAAACTGCAGTAAGATGTGGGGGCGTTAAGGCATCTCGAGGGAGAGGTGGGGGGGGGGGGCTCTAATTCCCCTGCCTCCTGAGGAATGATATGAGTAATAAGTATCACCTGCGTAACCTAGAGATTTGCACCGCTGTATTTTCTTTAACTGTCTTTTTTTTTATGTGTATGGCTTCCGTTTATCTGTCTTCCATATTTCTGTGCTACTTATTGCGATTCCTTTGTCCTGTGACCAGCTACACCGAAATGCCATCTCAGCGTATCACCCCTGCATCACGTTGCTGAACAGGGCAATGGAATTCACTTTGACTTTGTCAGTGAACACGTGCAGATTTCTAGATCTTCCCTTTGCTGGAGCCTTTACCTGAGGGCACGCTGCTGCTGAGTCTTGACCCCACAGCGCTCTGGCTATGAGTAAGCATCCTGATCCGCCAGTGCATTTTGAGAAGAGAAAGCCGGTGTCAAATGAGAAGTCAGCGTTTTTGATTTACGCAGTAACCCCCCCCCCCCTTCCTGTAGCCTGTGAGCGGCTGCGCGGCATTTGTGCGGTTGTCAAGGGCCCTGTTTTCTTCCGAGATGGTCGGCGAGGAGGGGGATGGGTAGCTCATTGCGTGGCAAAGACCTGGTACGTTGCAGTTTTAGGAAGTGGGCACCTCTTACTTCCTTGTATTCTGCACGTTTCAGCGCCGTGTACTGCAGCAGCTCCATCGCGGCCTGCCCTGACCCGGCCCGCTCCCCTCTCTCCCTTTTGCCCCCACTTTAGAAGCACTGCGTCCGAGCAGGACGTCCGAGACGAAGCGCTACAGCGAGATCTTCCGTGATTTCGACAACCTGGAGCTGTCGCTCATCCATGAGTACGTATTTCACATCGTTGGCACGGTCTTCCGCCACCCGGCTTCTCCGTTCACCTGCTCATTTTTCCCTCGTTCTGTTCGACTGTCTTTGCCCTGCGTTTATTGGGGGAACCCCAGGACTGTGGAGGACCTGCTACCAGACCCAGACACCATATCCAACGCAGAGACGGAAACCACAGAGATCACGGATCCGGAAGAACTGACGGTTAATGATTAGTACTTCATTTTTATTTTGTAGTATTTTATACCACATTCATTCATGCTTACATTTCAGTTAATTGAGTCCAAAGATAGCCTTGAGGTTTTCATTATACCATTGAACTTTTCAATTGTATTGTTCTATTTTACGTGCACCACTTCTAGGAGTCACAAGGCACTTCTCGTTATATGTCTGCCTTTGTACACTATGACAGTAAGGTTAAAGTGAATTTATGACATCACACAATAAAATGGTGGCTCCCCGCTGGATCCGATTCAAACCCGATGGCTCCTTCTGCAGCCTGAAGAAGGCCTCGACGTCGAGATTCGGGTTGATGAAGACCAAAAAGAAGGATCTTCACCAGGTAGGTCCTTCAAGCTTGGTGTCTGTGTGCCCCCCACCTTCCAGTAGCTGGAAACAGATGATTGGGATGAGTGTTGTGGACGCTTTTCGTATTTCCATTATAATATGGAGATCAGAGTTCTCAGTGGAAGCTGCGGCGGCATTCAAACGCACCTGAAAGACTGCGAGTGTGATGCGGTCCAGCTGGGCCAGGCAGTGTTCGGGGCTGGACGGGTTTTTACCGAGTTCTGTTTTAGGTGGTGAGGTTCTTCTGTGACTCCACACTCTGACCTGGTCCCAAAAGAGCTCCCCGGTTTTTGGGCAGTTAGCCATGCACGCTAATTGCCTCACGCTAATCAGATTAGCAGGAGAAGGGGGTAGATTTGACCAACAGGCAGTGGTGGGGGGAGGTTCCCCTACCCAGTCAGACGTGTTGGGGGGGAGGAACCTGCAGGGAGCTTACAGGCCGGTGATGCTGCTGCACCAGGCTCCACCCCTGTGTGTGCATAGTATCTGCTCCAGAAAGTGTCTCATCAGGAGAGGCGACAGCATTTCAACGATAAAATAAGGCAGCATCCTGTTAGTGGGAACACGGAACCGATCTTTATCTCTACATGAGAACGGCAAGAACAAAGGCACCCAAGTCAGTGGAGAGTCTCTGTGTGTGAGAGAGATTCGCACATTTGTGTGTGTGATCTCTCAATCAGTATAAACATTGTTGGTGTGATTGTAATGATGCATCACCTGGGTTATTGCATGGATGTGTGTCTGTGTGTGTGTGTCTGTGTGTGCATGTGTGTGCATGTGTGTGTCTGTGTGTGCATGTGTGTGCATGTGTGTGTCTGTGTGTGCATGTGTGTGC